AATATTTCTTCACCATTTATAAAATGTGGTCGATTAGACATAAATTGTGATATACTACGTGAAAATTGATAAGTAACAAAAGCAAAACAATGATAAACCTGAAAGAATTAATCAGAAGAAAAAGTAATTATATTATTATATCAAATAGATAATTACTTACATTATTTTCTTTATCTCGATTAACTGATAATTCTGTTAATAATCCATATTTTTCACAATATGTACGTAATACATCAGTAGATATATTACATAAATTTCCAATAAATACCTGACGACTAGAATTATTTAAGATAAAATATTGCGAATAAAATAAAGATTAGTTATGTTCACTTACTCGCTCATTATTTTCTCTAATATTATTACACAAAAAAAATGATCTAAAATTAAATATAATACTTCTAGTTATTCGCTCATATCAAATGATTTACTGTGCTTATAAAAGTGAAAAGTAAAATAAGAAAATGGCAATGGTTAGATGAAGGAAGAAAAAAGCACAGCCCTGGATGGTTATATAGACTAAGTAAAGAAAGAAATGTGATTATAACAACATAAACTTCGTAGTATTAAATTGTGTATAATATTAAACGAAATTCTAAAGAATATCAAATTTAATATACTCTGCACATAATTATACAGCGAGTTTTATAAATAAATTAGAATAAAAGAAATTTATTACTTAGTAAAAATCGAGAAGTTGTTCTTAATGAAACTAACATGAAATAAGTGAAATTATATGAATATATATTGATTTGAAGCGACATCTAATCATTTTTCACAAAAATCTATTTATGAGATTTAATTTTTTTCAAGATTTTATTGCAATAGAATTTGTGTATTCTCTTCAATCATTAAGCATTTCTACAATCTTCTATGGACATTGACTCATGGAATTTTTTGCATCAGGTTTTTACCAAAACAAGTAATATTTTATTGCTACCTTTCTTTTTCATTTCTACCAACATGTCACTTTCATAAAAGTTAATAAATGGCAACAGCAACAGCGGCTGGTAAAGCACGATGTGTCACATGTGGAAAAGAAAAAAGTACATCTCGATGTGATGGATGTTCTCAACCATTTTGTTACAAACATCTTGGAGATCATCGACAAGAATTAAATAAACAACTAGATGAAATTGAAGTCAGTCGAGATCTTTTCCGACAAACTCTTACAGAACAATCAGCTAAACCAGAAAATCAAACATTAATGAAACAAATCAATCAGTGGGAACAAGATTCAATTGCTAAAATTCGTCAAACAGCAAATGAAGCTAGAAAATTAATAATGAAACATACCACTAAATATCTGACTGAAATTGAAACCAAATTAAACACATTAACTAAACAATTACGAGAAAGTCGTGCAGAAGATGATTTCATTGAAGCAGATCTTCAACGATGGAACAAACAATTAACACAAATGAACAACGAATTAGATAAACCTTCAACCATTAAGATCCAACACGCTTTGACACCATTAATCAATACAATTCGTATTAATTTATCAGGTAATCTTTCAGTATTATATTTCTGAAGTGTCGGAAGATAAATACATTCAAATTAAAATAATTAGAAACAAATTGTATATTGTTTTTCTTTACATGTCACCAAAAACAATATTTGTCAAGATTACAAAACAATGCCTATTTCTCATCTGAAATAGATTTTAAAATATAATCTGAATATGATTATGAAAAAACTCTTCATGATCGAATGTTTTATCAGTTAAAATGCTACAAAGTAGCACATCTATAATATTTTTAGAATGATTAGAGATTCTTTGAGGACTTCTATTAA